AACATAGAACTTTAGAGGAGCTCACTGAGGAGAGTTGAGAGCAGAGTCCGGGGATTCTTCTTTTGGACAACGTGGGGGGAAGACTTTGTAGCTGTAATATTCTACCACTTGTTTGGGCACTTCAGCCAGGACACATTTGGCCAGGGCAGCTGGAGATGCCTGAAACACACAAATACAGATAATGTACAATGAAAGAAACAAATGTCCAACAAAGATTTTATTGCATTCCATATTTACCGAAAGGGGCTTCATTCATTTATGTGTATGAAAGAAGAACTGTCTGCACTGAACCCAGCAACCAATCAAATTCCAGTTATCAAACAACAACTTTTTCTAGTTAGAAACTAAATGCTGGCATCAAATTGAATTGGTTTTCATGGGCAATACAGACAGTTCACTGGAAGAACAATGGCAGAATAATTTGCTTCTAAAAGACACTTGCAGAATTTTGTGTGTATTTTCTGTTATATTATGTTCAGAACTGTGTTGATATGGCTATTTTAGTGATTTTTTTTAATAACATACATATAAGTAGAAGCTAGGCTTCCCCTAATCATGTACTAATTAACTTGTTGGACTGGTTCATGGGCTCATACTACACGAAGCAATGTTGAAAGGGGATAGGGGGAGGGGACAAAGGACTGGGACACAGCCATGTGGTGGACACAAAAGAAGGGAAGGAGCCATCTGGAGAGATCCTGGATAAAAGGAAAAAGTCTATTGCATGTATTGCTCGAGTCTCATTTGCTAGAATGGATAGATAGCTTGTGCAGGTGTATATTGTGTGCATGTTTTATGATACTCCGTATGTCTTAACGTTGACCCAGGGAATATCCGATTGCCTCTCGGGGGATCAGGAAGGAATTTTTTTCCCTGCAGGAGCAAATTGGATCGTGCTTTGCTGGGTTTTCTGCCTTCCTCTGGATCAACTGTGGGTGGAGGATTATAACTTTTTTTTTCTATGGTTGAACTGGATGGACTTTTGTCTTTTTTCAGCCAACTAACTATATATGTAACTATGTAGCTATATAACTTTGTAGCTATGTAACTATGTCTTGTATTGTTTTCCTAAAATTGTAAGTAGTTTGTATGTGCAGCATTTTGTTTAGTAAAGCATTAATACACTGCAGAGGTTTTTTATGCTTCCTTGCTTTAATGCAATCTTAAAAGACAAAGCAAAACAATAACTAAATAAAAATATTTAAGATTTTCTTTATATTTTTAGTCATTTTCCTTATTTTTGTTCTGGTCTGACGGTGGCTTGGAGAGCAGCCTAATAGGTTTGACCAACACAAGTAACTGTTACCACTTTTGTACTTGTTTACTTGTATTGCAAAAATTTAATTAAAAGAATTAAAGAAAATATTAAAATTAAAAATGAATGTTTCATATACACCGTACTAATTCCTGCCAGCAGGTGGAGCTGTAGGCTCCTTTTCACCTGTATGCCAGGCTAGTCTTAGCTGCTTTGCTGAAGAAAATTAAACAGCTCTCAGTAGCTGAAGCTTACATTACACACACAGCTAATGAGCAGGGGTGGACTGACAACTCATGGGGCCCCCCGGGCAATAGGGGATCATGGGGCCCCTGTGCCCTTGCCCAAACTCAAAAAAGCCTATGAAAAAGGTACCAGGGGCATCTCATGGGGCCCCCTACTGAACCCGGGTCCTCGGGCAGTGCCCGAGTTTCCAAATGGTCAGTCCGCCCCTGCTAATGAGTCAGACGTATAACCCAGTCCCAGCTCCTGCCTGCTCTGAAGGGTTCCAGAAATAACTTTCAAAGACAATGAGAAATTCTGAAAGGAAGCAGCTACTGCTGTGTTCTCTCTTTTCATCCAAATTGTAAAGCTGAACTCTAGGAAGGTATAAAATATACAGATTTGTATTTTTGAATACACACATAAATTGTTTTTTCTTTAAAGCAGAGTAAGTGACTGAACTTGACCTGGTATCAGCATCTTGCAGTCCCTATACAGCAGAGCTTGGACAGAGAGTGAGAGAAGCAGCGCAAGGAGCCAACCAAGGAGCTGTGCAATGCAGGCCATAGGCAGGTCGTTTATACGAACGAAACATCGGCCGATATTCACACCGTTAGTGGGGCAATGCCGTCGGACGTTTTTTCGCGTTTCTTTTTATCGGTCATGCTGGAAAATCCACGAAAAACTGCCGTTTTTCGTAAGCATTGGTGGCAGCATCCATGGCAGCAACGACCGATTTTTTCGTTTATCGGCCGACAACCCGGCCGATAAACGGCCCTTCTATGGCCAGCCTAAGTCTCAGAAATGGATGGACAGAAATTCCACTTCTTTATCACATGTGATCACTTGATGATAAGATAAGATGATAACTTACGTTTTTGAATTCCCGGAATGGAACAAACTGGACAATATCTCGGAGGACGGGCTCCCCTTTGGGTGCTCGCAAGATGCCGTCATCGCCATCCAGAATCTGCATGTCGGTAAAATCTGCGTTTCCTACGCCCACAATGATAATGGACATGGGCAGGTAGGACGCTCGCACGATGGCCTCCCGTGTGTCCGCCATGTCTGTCACCACTCCATCGGTGAGAATGAGAAGGATGTAATATTTCTGCAATAAGACACAGGGGGGGCGGTGAGATGGTTTGGCAAGGTTAGAACTTTGGTGGTCACAGTGGGCCTTGCGTGCTATAAGGGGGGAGGGAAAAGGAGGTGTTTTATGTGGCAGCCAATCAGATGCAAGATGTCATCCATGCAATCCAAGTGGCTACTCTTGGCATCGTGTTCCCCATTCCCTCACAATGTCACCTATCTGGACAAGGTTGTCCACATGGCACTTCTTCCAAACTATTTTGTAATATATTTTTTTTACATCCTATATCTGGATATTATATAAGTTGCTTCTTGATTATACATTTTTGGATATTCTTTTGATTTATTTATAGCACCAATTTCAGAAAATGTAGTTTGAGGTATCCATATGACACTGTTGTACCCACCGAAGCCTCTTTGGTCCTCTCCTCCTCAGCCGCCAGCCGCGCTACCCGGGATATGATCGGGGCCACATTGGTGGGTCCATACAGCTGGATTTTCGGGAGGCAGTTCTGGTAGGATTCCACTATACCCTGAATCCCTGCAGATGAAACAAGCAAGAGAATTTCCTTCTGCTAACTTTATCCAAACAACCAAATAAAAAGACATACGTATTGCTTGAATGTCAGTGGAAGAGAACTCCAATGTACAGTAAGTATTCTAATGAAACAATTAATCTTTACTAAGGTCTCCATGCCTTTAGCAGTCGGCAAGTGGGCCTCGCTCAAGGTTGTGCTTTAGGCCTCTTTCACCCGGGAGTTCCGTATGTCCGTTTAGGGATGAAAAACGGACCCCCATAAGGACTTGTAGATGTGAACGGCTGAACATCTTTTTATATCCGTTAATGTCTGCATGCGTTAACGTCCGTTTTTTTGAACAGAAGAAAACCCTATTTTCCTTCCGCAAAAAAAGCCGAAAAAACAGATGTCAACAGATGTAAATGGACCAAAAGCAGATGTAGACGGATGAAAATGGATCTAAACGGATGAAAAACAGATGTAAATGGATCTAAATGGATGAAAAAAAAACGGATGAAAATGGATCTAAACGGATGAAAAATGGATGTAAACAGATGAAAAAACGGATGTAAACCAATGTAAACAGATGAAAAAACGGATGAAAAAATGGATGAAAAAACCTATGTAAACTCATCTATTTTTTTCTTTGAAAAAATCGTGACTGAACTGAAGAAAAAAAAACAGAATGCCCGTGTGAAAGGACCCTAAGAGACTTGATTTTATATATTTGTTATACACGTAGGGTTCTCCCTTAACGTTTCCTTCAGCTGCAATTTCATGAGAAAATAGAGAGAACATTATTTCTAGGCATATAAGCAGGCACTGAACTGTATTGTTTTAGGCGAATGGTACATGATCTACCCTTCTCTCTTAGCCATACAAGAGTCTTTATCCATTGTAGAAAAAATTAGTACGCTTCCAAGTGTTTGTGTGGCTTCTCCCTGTGTACCCAGCTTTCTGGGCATATTTTGGATATATTTTTAAGTTAGTAACAGACCGTTCTGATTTTAAGGACAGTCATACACATGTATGGATGTGCACTTATTTTTCCCCTCAAAATGATATATTTCACAAAAGTGTCCTTTATTTTATTAAAGTTGCATTGGGGTTATGTTGTGTGGTCTGCACATACCTATGCAATAAAATTTGTAAAGAATCACGTGATCCCGACAGAATGGGGAGTGTCATTTCACATACACACCATGCTGGAAAATAAAAATTTCATTGAAGTTGCATCCTCTTACCTTCACATTCATCGTCATCGGGGTTGAAGTTGATTGCAAAATCATGTGACACCTGAAGGAAATGTGAGATTGGTTAAAGACGAAGAGGAGTTGACATTACGTCATGAGACGCACTGCACTGTCCGGGCCCAGCCCTGCCCCAGCCCTGCCCCCCCATGACAAATTTAATAAATTTTAAGAAAAAAAAATTCAATTCAGCACTGAAGATTCATGTAATTTGCTGTGTAAATTTGTTGCCGTCATATAAAATACCTGTAATAAATAAATTGGTCAGTTACAGATCCTTCTGCCTATGTTCAGACTTCACCCTCTCAAAGATTAAAGTAGTTGTAAAAGTCCGACATGAAATATGAACAAAGCATATCCCCGTATAGTGTGTACTTGTCTCAGTCCAGAGCACCAAGTGTCATTTCTGTCTGCTGCCTCCTTCCTCTGCTAGCTGCATGAGTCCCTTCTGATAGGTTAAAAGGTGACAGGGGAGGGAGCTTCAGCACACAGCCTGTGATTGACAGCGTCAGTTCTGTTCCTGTGTGCTGTGTGAAGGGGGTGTGTCCCTTCCCTCCAATCAGCACTCAGAGCTCTTATACAGTGTGTAACTGCAGGACCCCTGCTTTGAGAGTCTGTGAAAAATCCTTTACCTTGCTGCTGCGGTGGGTGGATGGTCCCTAAGCAGGGGCGGACTGACCATTTGGAAACTCTGGCACTGCCTGAGGGCCCGGGGTCAGTAGGGGGCCCCATGAGATGCGCCTGGTACCTTTTTCATAGGCTTTTTTGAGTTTGGGCAAGGACACAGGGGCCCCATGATTCCCTATTGCTCAGGGGCCCCATGAGTTGTCAGTCCACCCCTGTCCCTAAGTGTCATCCTGTACAATGCAGAGCTATTAACCCGGTACTATGTGGTAGGGGTGAGCGTGCGACCTCGGCCGGGAGCACCTTAGAGAGGAGGCTGTGGAGGACCGGTCACACCACTGGAGGAATCCTGATGGCAATAGGTAAGGATCACTCCCTATTTCAGCACCCCTGGACATAATGAGCATTGAACTCTTGCAGTGTGGAGGGCCCCACTGCACAATGAGATATTTTGTCATTGCTGGAGTTGGGCTTTAACCCTCATGGATGTAGAAACAAAAAATGGTCCCCAGATCACTCAGACCTTTGCTGAGAAATGAATTGAGGACTTTTCCCACCTTCCACTTCCATGTACAGAGACCGATCCCCTCCCAAATCTGCGCAGAGCTCAAAAGAAAGAAAAATGACAAGCAGCTTGTGAGCCTCCAGGAGCCGATGTCACATATTTGCAGTCGCAGTCACCAGGCGGACGAGGTCAGAACGTGACACTGATACATCATTGTACGAGAGCAGCGACAGAATGGGAGCAGCCGAGGATGTAGACCGATGCAGAGACAACGCGGAGAGCGCAGAGACCAAACACACTGCAGGCCCCAGAGGACCCTCCAGATCCCTGACAGCAGAGCACTCATCTCTTCTGATAGTAATGACTCCAGGCCACCAGAAGAGGCCAGCATTACTCCCCAGGGGCAGTTCAGCCCAAGGCTCCCCCATAACCCCTTCATGAGCTGTCAGTCGCTATGATCTTACATTGCTGGATAATAGAAGTCTCAGGGGACCGTGCTGGAAATGCTGGCAGACCTTAAGTAGTAACTGCCACGTTCGGGCCGACCGCGGTACAGGAAGACTTCTCCACGTCCTATTTCTGGAGAGACTTTCCTTTCCGGAGATTTTCCTTTGCGGTTCTCATTATTATTATTATTATTATTATTATTATACAGGATTTATGGCGCCAACAGTGTGCTCAGCGCTGTACAATATAACGGGAGACAATACAGCAACAATACAGATCAATACAAGAGGGATAGGAGGGCCTGATCCCGGGAGCTTACAATCTAAGAGGGAGGGGGGCTGATCCTGGGAGCTTACAATGTACGAGGGAGGGGCTGATCCTGGGAGCTGACAATCTAAGAGGGAGGGAGGGGCTGATCCTGGGAGTTTACAATCTAAGAGAGGGAGGGGCTGATCCTGGGAGTTTAGCTTACAATCTAAGAGGGAGGGGCTGACCCTGGGAGCTGAAAATCTAAGAGGGAGGGGGGGCTGATCCTGGGAGCTTACAATGTACGAGGGAGGGGCTGACCCTGGGAGCTTACAATCTAAGAGGGAGGGGCTGATCCTGGGAGCTTACAATGTACGAGGGAGGGGCTGATCCTGGGAGCTGAAAATCTAAGAGAGGGAGGGGCTGATCCTGGAGCTTACAATCTACGAGGGAGGGGCTGGTCCTGGGAGCTTACAATCTAAGAGGGAGGGCCTGATCCTGGGAGCTTACAATCTAAGAGGGGGGCTGGGGCTGATCTGGAAGCTTAAAATCTACGAGGGAGGGGCTGGTCCTGGGAGCTTACAATCTAAAGAGGGAGGGCCCTGATCCGGGAGCTTACAATCTAAGAGGGAGGGGCTGATCCTGGGAGCTTACAATCTAAGAGGGAGGGCCCTGATCCTGGGAGCTTACATTACAATACTACGAGGGAGGGCTGGTCCTGGGAGCTTACAATCTAAGGGAGGGAGGGAGGGGCTGATCCTGGGAGTTTACAATCTAGGAGATCTCTCATGTACAGAAATCAAAAAAAATAATGTTTTATTTATGCACCAAACTCTGTTACAGAGAAGGCGTGGTGGTTTTGTATATATACTGTATTGTATTCATGTGTTATAAGTACAGCATGGCACAGAGCGGTGCTTCTCAACTAGGGTGCCATGGTACCTTGGGGTGCCACCTGTGTTCCCCTGGGGTGCCACAAGCACAGGACCCAGTTTTTCCTTGCATTAGCATAATGAGTTTCCATGATGCAGACGGGCTACCTGCCAGCATCATAACAACCAAAACGTTCTGTGATGGGGGGGGGGCTGTGTGTGTGACTGGGGGCCCTGTGATGGGGGGACCTCTAACATGATGGGGAACCTCTGATGTGAAGGGGGGCTCTGATGTGATGTGGGGGGGGACCTCTGATGTCAAAAGGGACTCTGATGTGATGATGGGGTCTACTGATGTAGTGGGGACCTCTGATGTAAAAGGAGGATTCGGATGTGATGGGGGGCTCTGATGTGATTGGAGGATCTCTGATGTGATGAGGGAGACCTCTGATGTGATGGGGGACCTCTGAGGTAAAGGGGGGACTCTAATGTGATGGGGGACATCTAATGTGATGTGGGGACCTCTGATGTGATGGAGAACCTCCGAAGTGTAGAGGGGACTCTAATGTAATAGGGGATCTCTGTTGTGATGGAGGACTTCTGATGTGATGGGGGACCTCTTATGTGATGGGGGACCTCTGAGGTGAAAGGGGGGACTCTAATGTGATGTGGGGACCTCTAATATGATGGGGGGGACTTCTGTAGTGATGAGGGACCTCTAATGTGATGGGGGACCTCTGAGATGAAGGGGGGACTCTAATGTGATGGGGGGACCTTTGATGTGATGGGGGAACCTCTGATGTGATAGGGGACCTCTGGGGTGATGTGATGGGGACCTCTGATGTGATGGGGGACCTCTGAGGTGATGTGGGGACCTCTGATGTGATGGGGGGCCCTCTGTGATGTGGGGACCTCTGATGTGATGGGGGACCTCTGATGTGATGGGGGGCCCTCTGATGTGATGGGGGACCTCTGATGTGGGGACCTCTGATGTGATGGGGACCTCTGATGTGATGGGGGGACCTCTGATGTGGTGAGGGGATCTCTGATGTGATGGGGGGGATCTCTGATGTGGGGACCTCTGATGTGATGAGGGGACCTCTGATGTGATGGGGGACCTCTGATGTGGTGAGGGGACCTCTGATGTGATGGGGGGACCTCTGATGTGTTGGGGGGACCTCTGATGTGATGGGGGACCTCTGATGTGATGGGGGGACCTCTGATGTGGTGGGGGGACCTCTGATGTGATGGGGGGACCTCTGATGTGGTGGGGGGACCTCTGATGTGGTGGGGGGACCTCTGATGTGGTGGGGAGGGGGAACCTCTGATGTGGTGGGAGGACCTCTGATGTGGTGGGGGGACCTCTGATGTGGTGGGGGGACCTCTGATGTGGTTGGAGGACCTCTGATGTGGTGGGAGGACCTCTGATGTGTTGGGAGGACCTCTGATGTGGTGGGGGGACCTCTGATGTGATGGAGGACCTCTGATGTGGCAGTTGTGTACCTTGTCCCAGGCTCAGGTTCCCCATTGATAAGTAACATTGATGGGTTTTTTACCTTAGAATGGGGGGGGGGGGCAGAAGATTTTTCCTCCTTTTAAAGGGTCCCGCGACTTATATAAGTTTGAGACCCGCCGACATGGAGCGCCACGTAGCCTCAGCCAGGTGAGGGGTCCACCTTTCTCTATTGGCACATGGCTACCAGGAATGAAGGGACAGAAAGTAATGATGAAGATCCACCAACCGATGGACTGCAGGAGGATGAGGACCTGTCATGGACTGAAGACATCAACCTGCGTGAACAGCATCCAAACGTTCGATCCCAACACTCGTAATCTCGTTGTGTTCGCCGAGTTCCATGACAAGGAGAAGCGCGACTTCCTCTGGGGACAATCTATTGAGAGTCGACTATTGAGATATTCTGAGGTTTTCTCTGCTCGGAACATTCACATTTCAGATTGTCGGTGACTTGGCTTTAGATCCATTGTTCCAGAGACTTCAAATGATTCCTTTCTGTTGTCAGCTTGAGAATCTGGAGGCCCTAAGTGGTGGTAATTACCTGCCATTTACATCTCATTACGCCCGGCTGTCTTGTCTGGTGAAAGATATCCGAGGCTGCCTGACATTCTCTCAGGAAGAATCATTTTTGCTTGTGGCAAATAGAAATTGTTCGCTGATTGTACAATGTGAGAAGTAATACAGAAATGATTTATCGCGTTCAGCAAATTGCCGGCTGTATGAAATCAGTGTCTGGGCTGTCATCTGGGGGACAATAGCAATCATTGTCAGAACAGATAAAAGGACATTTCAATGTGTTGCAATCAGCAGGAACATCGGCACTTAAATAGTCAAACTATGCAGAACGGAGATTTTAGGGGATGGAATGCGGCTCTGGATATTTCGGCGGGGAAATTACCGAAAACTACATTTCCCTCTTATCACCTACTTAATGTGGAAATAAAGTGTAAGTTACCCCAACATTTTATATTCCGGATGTGTGTCTGCTGTAATGTGTACTTGTATGAAAAACTATCCGGTTCTCCTTTGTGTGAAATACCTGGTGATCCTTCCAGATCCCCTACTTTCCTATTTCAAACTGACCACACCAGGCATAGAAGGACATCTTTACCAGTGTGGTCAGTTTTCTGGCTGTGCTGGGGGAATAGCCTGCCTGTCCTCATATGGTCAGACTTATGCTGACACGCCCCATGTACAGCCTGCCTGTTCTCCTATGATCAGACCTTTACTGACACAACCCCCTGCACAGTCTGCCTGTCCTCCAGTGATCAGACTTGTGTTGACATGCCTCCTCTGCACAGCCATTCACTGGGAAGATCAGTGTCCTGCTGTTTCTCTGCCACCTGCTGACACACCCCCCTGCAGTCTTCACCCTAGCCGTTATGCAGAGTACAGAGGTCATGTACACACTTTTAAAAAAAAATATATATATATAATAAATATATATATATATATATATATAATATTGCCAAACGTATTGTCCCGCCCTCCAAAACATGTGATTCAGGTGTTCCTATCCCTTCCATATCATATTATTCAGGTGTTCCAATCCCCTCCATATCATGTGATTCAGGTGCTCCAATCCCCTCCATATCATGTGATGTGGGTGTTCCAATCCCCTCCATATCATGTGATTCGGGTGTTCCAATCCCCTCCATATCATGTGATTCAGGTGCTCCAATCCCCTCCATATCATGTGATTCGGGTGTTCAAATCCCCTCCATATCATGTGATTCAGGTGCTCCAATCCCCTCCATATCATGTGATTCGGGGTGTTCCAATCCCCTCCATATCATGTGATTCAGGTGTTCCAATCCCCTCCAAATCATGTGATTCAGGTGTTCCAATCCACTCCATGGACACAGGTGTATACAATCAAGCCCCTAGGCATGCAGACGGCTTCTACAAACATTGGTGAAAGAATGGGTCGCTCTCAGGAGCTCAGTGACTCCAAGCGTGGTCCCGTGATAGGTGGCCACCTGGGCAATAAGTCCATCCGGGACATTTCCTGGCTACTAAATATTCCACGCTCAACTGTTAGTGGGATTATAACAAAGTGGAAGCAACTGGGAACAACAGCCACTCAGCCACCAAGTGGTAGGCCACGTCACATGACAGGGCGGGGTCAGTGCATGCTGAAGCGCGCAGTGCGCAGAAGTCGCCAACTGTCTGCAGAGTCAATAGCTAAAGACCTCCAAACTTGGTGTGGCCTTCAGATGAGCCCAACAACAGTGCATAGAGAGCTTCATGGAATGGGTTTCCATGGCCGAGCAGCTGCATCCAAGCCTTCCATCACCAAGTGCAATGCAAAGCGTCGGATGCCGTGGTGTAAAGCACGCCACCACTGGACTCCATAGGGATGGCAAACATGTCATTGGCAGATGCTTGTGTGAGTGGAAGACCGCTCTGGACTGGTGGACCAAAGAATTAGCTGTTGGTGGGTAACTTTGCGAGGAATGTGGTGGGAGTCTCTTCTGGGGGGGGGGGGGTCTTTGGGGGGGGGTTGATCCTCAAAGGTAGGCAGTTGTAGTGGAGATCCTGCCTTTTCTGTTCTGCCGTTTCAGTGGGAGCACCTTGAGTGAGTGTGAAGGAGTGCCGGGGACAAAATGAGCATCTCACCTAATGGTTTGTTTCAGTACTTCACTGAAGATCCCTTCTCAGAGGGGTAACAAATAGAGCCAACGCGTTTCGGGGAACTGCCCCCCCCCCCCCCTTCTTCAGGGCTGTTGGTACAACACTTTGGAGAGGGGTCTCACTAAACAGACATTAGGTAAATGACATTGCCAGTAGTTCAGAGTGCCAGTATGCAGTGGATCGGATGCAGGCAGTTGAGCCTCAGTTTTTACTGCCCCCTGACCGCCCACTTAAACTAAGGTATGCAGCCTTTTGGGCTGTACAAATGTTGCAGCAAAAACAAGACATCATGTTGCCTTTGGCAGGTAGTATCACAGCCTAACACGACCCATTCACGTGAGTTGGGCTGTGCAATGCGTGCATTAGTGGTAGCTGAGGGTCAGCATTTTGAGGGTTAAAACAGGCGGTGAGGCAGGGGCGGACTGACAACTCATGGGGCCCCCGGGCAATAGGGGATCATGGGGCCCCTGTGTCCTTGCCCAAACTCAAAAAAGCCTATGAAAAAGATACCATGGGCATCTCATGGGGCCCCCTACTGACCCCGGGCCCTCAGGCAGTGCTTGAGTTTCCAAATGGTCAGTCCGCCCCTCCGGTGGGGAAGTGACATTTCCTCTCCTCAATGCCTGTCAAATGCCCCGCTGAGAAGGGATCTGCCGTAGATCACTTTTCAGAGGGGTGGCAGTATAGCCGAACGTAAGAACGAGCCCTAAGGGGTCATTTGGCCTCTTTGCATTACTACTGTATGTTATTATTATTTAATATCCAGAAAAGTGTTCCCAATACCGGGACACAAATCCTGATCTCGGAGCGCTCTTATATAGGTCACATATACACAGCCTAGACACACGCACACACCTATAAAATATACATCCAATTCGGGATTTGTAAGCCTGGCGACTGCTACTAACTGGAAGGAAATATAAAATATTCAACCTAAAAGTTCTACAAACAATAGAAGAGACCTGCCACAGAAATATAGGAGACGTCCATTCTGACTTGTTACAGGAGACGGTTTCCAAATTAGAAGAGACTGCTACCGAATACCGGGAGACCGCTACCGAATACCGGGAGACCGCTACCGAATACCAGGAGACCGCTACCGAATACCGGGAGAGACCGCTACCGAATACCGGAAGACCGCTACCGAATACCAGGAGACCGCTACCGAATACCGGAGACCGCTACGGAATACCGGGGGAGACCGCTACCGAATACCGGGAGACCGCTACGGAATACCGGGAGACCGCTACCGAATACCGGGAGACCGCTACGGAATACCGGGAGACCGCTACCGAATACCGGGAGACCGCTACCGAATACCGGGAGACCGCTACCGAATACCGGGAGACCGCTGCCGAATACCAGGACATTGCTACCGAATACCGGGAGACCGCTGCCGAATACCAGGAGATTGCTACCGAATACCGGAGACCGCTATTACCGAATACCAGGAGATTGCTACTGAATACCGGATAGAGGATGGGACTACTTGCTACTAGGACATGACCCGGATAAAGGATGGGACTAACTTTACTAGATACACCATGACCTGGATAAAGGATGGGACTAACTTCTACTAGGTGCACCATGACCCGGATAAAGGATGGGACTAACTTCTACTAGGTGCACCATGACCCGGATAAAGGATGGGACTAACTTCTACTAGGTGCACCATGACCAGGATAAAGGATGGGACTAACTTCTACTAGGTGCACCATGACCCGGATAAAGGATGGGACTAACTTCTACTAGGTGCACCATGACCAGGATAAAGGATGGGACTAACTTCTACTAGGTACACCATGACCTGGATAAAGGATGGGACTAACTTGACTACTGATACACCATGACCTAAAGGATGGGACTAACTTCTACTAGGTGCACCATACTGAACTACTACTACCAGGTGCACCATGACCCCGGATAAAGGATGGATAACTTCTACTAAGGATGGGACTAACCTCTACTAGGTGCACCATGACCCGGATAAAGATGGGACTAACTACTTGCACCATGACCCGGATAAAGGATGGGACTTACTTCTACTAGGTGCACCATGACCAGGATTGACTTCTACTAGGTGCACCATGACCAGGATTTACTAGGTGCACCATGACCAGGATTAAGAGGAGACCCTTCACTGACTTATTACTTCTGCACTTTGAAAGTGGCTCGGAATAAATGATTCACTCGGCATTGAGTCGGCGGTAAGGAGTTCAGCCGGCAGAGAACGCGCCAGCTTCTGATTAGACGCCACAAACAAGAGGAGAGCGAATTTTCACAGGGAAAGTGGATCAAGGACAGCGCATCGCTGCAGGAAATGTGACGGGAAGGCATGGCGGGGACGCATTATGTGCGCTGGCCTCAGGAGGAGGAATGTATAAGTGACAACGCTCTCACTTCAAACACAAAGTTCCTCTATGGAAGCTTCGCTCTTCATGTACTTCTCCGCCAACACTTCATCACGGCAGAATGAGACGCCATTAACTCCTTCATGGGTCAGAGATTAGACTCCGAATCCCAACTCCAGCTACACGCAGCCGGCTGAAATACACAGCGAACAATGATGGTGGGGCTTTAACCCCTCGCCCTCCAGAGGATTCCCCCCAACCCCCCCCCCCCACCCCCCCGCCTTCCTGACCAGCTGCGTTACTGTAACTGACAATTACGCGGTCGTGCAACGCTGCACCCAAATTAAATGTATGTCCTTTTTTTCCCACAAATAGAGCTTTCTTTCGGTGGTATTTGATCACCTCTGCGTTTTTTATTTTTTGCGCCATAAAAAAAAAAAAAAGACCAACAATTTTGAGAAAAAAAACAATATTTTTGAGTTTTTGCTATAAAACATGTCCAGTAAAATTTTTTAAAAATCATAAGTTTAGGCCAAAATGTATTCTGCTCCGTGTCTTTGCTAAAAAAAATCCCAATACTGTACGTGTAAATGAATTGGTTTACATGAAAGTTATAGCGACTACAAACGGTGGTATATATACTGTTTTTTTTTTGTTTACTGGTAATGGTGGTGATCAGCGACTTATAGCGGGACTGCAGGACTGCGGCGGGCATTCTGACACTGGGGGGTAATTATTTGGTGTCACTGACATCCCCAGTGACACCATTACAGTGATCAGTGCTAATAAAAAGGGCTGACACTGTACTAATGGCACTGGGCAGGAAGGGGTTAAAGGGCAGCTCCACCTTTACAACCCGGGGTTAGCTCAGCATGCCAGGCTTCACCTATAACTAAAATACAACTGTTGGGTGGACTGGACCTTTAACATACAATGACCACAATGGCAACAATAAGCTGATTGCAGTAACGTGTAAAACTAAAATAATAACATTTTACATCACATAGATGTTCCAGACGTGTGTAGCACGCCCCAAACAGATCATCATTGTACACAGGACATGTGTAGCACGTCCATTCCTTGCTCCCCCCTCCCAGTACACAGCAATTTGGCTCTGATTACTGTTTATAACTAACACCACTCAGATGCTACAAAAAGATACAATGTAACAAAAACATTTTGAGAATGACACAAGCAGGGGCAGACTGACCATTTAGGCACTTGGGCACTGCTCGAGGGCCGGGGTTCAGTAGGGGGCCCCATGAGATGCCCCTGGTACCTTTCATAGGCTTTTTTGGGTGTGGTTTGAGTGTGGGCGAGGACACAGGGGCCCCATGATTTCCTATTGCCCGGGGGCTCCATGAGTTGTCAATCCGCCCCTGGACACAAATATTTTTCACTGCTACCTCAGTTTTTATGATGGCAATTTGCACATACTCCAGAATGATATTAAGAGCGATCAGCTGAATAAATTTCCCTCTTTGCCATGAAAATGAACTTAACCCCCCCCCCCCAAAAAAAAAAATCATTTTCACTGCATTTCAGCCACAAAAGGACCAGCTGACATCATGATTCCCTCGTTCTCTCTCATTTATCGGATAATCAAGAACTTCAATCAGGGGCGGACTGACCATTTGGAAACTTGGGCACTGCCCGAGGGCCCAGGGTCAGTAGGGGGCCCCATGAGATGCCCCTGGTACCTTTTTCATAGGCTTTTTTGAGTTTGGGCAAGGACACAAGGGCCCCATGATCCCCTATTGCCCGGGGGCCCCATGAGTTGTCAGTCCGCCCCTGACTTCAATTGTTGTGAAGAAGGCTTCAGGGCATCCAAGAAAGTCCAGCAAGCGCCAGGACCGTCTCCTGAAGTGGATTCAAGTGCGGGATGGGGGCACCACTAATGCAGAGCTTGCTCAGGAATGGCAGCAGGCAGGTGTGATGCATCGGCATGCACAGTGAGGAGACTTGGAGGATGGCCTGGTGTCAAGAAGGGCAGAAAAGAAGCCACGTCTCTCCAGGAAAAGCATCCTGGACAGATGGATACTCCAAAGACATGCTGGTAGGTTAATTGGCTCCTGTCTACAATGTCCCTAGTATGTGTATGTATGAATGTGAGTTAGGGACCTTAGATTGTACGCTCCTCGGGGGTGGGGACTGATGTAAATGTACAATATATATGTAAATTGATGGCGCTATATAAGTACCTGTAATAAATAAATACATATTCTGCAAAAGGTCCAGGGGTTGGACTGCTGAGGACTGGGGGAAAGTCATTGTCTCTGATGGATTCCCTTTCCGATGGTTTGGGGCATCAAAAAAAAAACCTTGTCCGGAGAAGAAAAGATAAGCGCTACCATCAGTCCCGGTGTCATGCCAGCAGTAAAGCATCCTGAGACCACTCATGTGTGGGGTCGCTTCTGAGCCAAGACAGTGGGCTCACTCACAAGAACACGGCCATGAATAAAGAATGGTCCAAAAACATCCTCCGAGAGCGACTTCTCCCAACCATCCAAGACCAGATTGGTGAGGAACAATGCCTTCTCCAGCATGATGGAGCACCTTGCCAGAAGGCAAAAGTCAAAACTAAGTGGCTTGGGGAACAAAACATCGAAATTTTGGGTCCATGGCCAGGAAACTCCCCAGATCTTCATCCCATTGAGAACTTGTGGTCAGTCCTGAAGAGGTGGGTGAAGGAAAAAAAACACACTGTTGTTGGGCTCATCTGAAGGCCACACCAAGTTTGGAGGTCTTTAGCTATTGACTCTGCAGGCAGTTGGCGACTTCTATGCACTGTGCGCTTCAGCATGCGCTGACCCCGCCCTGTCATGTGACTTGGCCTACCACTGAGTGGCTGTTCCCAGTTGCTTCCACTTTGTTATAATCCCACTAACAGTTGAGCGTGGAATATTTAGTAGCCAGGAAATGTCACGGATGGATTTATTGCACAGGTGGCCACCTATCACAGGACCACGCTTGGAGTCACTGAGCTCCTGAGAGCGACCCATTCTTTCACCAATGTTTGTAGAAGCCGTCTGCATGCCTAGGGGCTTGATTGTATACACCTGTGTCCATGGAGGGGATTGGAGCACCTGAATAACATGATATGGAGGGGATTGGAACACCTGAATCACATGATATGGAGGGGATTGGAACACCTGAATCACATGATTTGGAGGGGATTGGAACACCTGAATCACATGATATGGAGAGGATTAGAACACCTGAATCACATGATATGGAGGGGATTGGAACACCTGAATCACATGATATGGAGGGGATTGGTAAACCTGAATCACATGATATGGAGGGGATTGGAACACCTGAATCACATGATTTGGAGGGGATTGGAACACCTGAATCACATGATTTGGAGGGGATTGGAACACCTGAATCACATGGTATGGAGGGGATTGGAACACCTGAATCACATGATATGGAGGGGATTGGAACACCTGAATCACATGATATGGAGGGGATTGGAGCACCTGAATCACATGATATGGAGGGGATTGGAACACCTGAATCACATGATTTGGAGGGGATTGGAACACCTGAATCACATGGTATGGAGGGGATTGGAACACCTGAATCACATGATATGGAGGGGATTGGAACACCTGAATCACATGATATGGAGGGGATTGGAGCACCTGAATCACATGATATGGAGGGGATTGGAACACCTGAATCACATGATATGGAGGGGATTGGAGCACCTGAATCACATGATATGGAGGGGATTGGAACACCTGAATCACATGATATGGAGGGGATTGGTACACCTGAATCACATAATTTGGAGGGCGGGCCCAATACTTTTGGCAATATAGTGTATATATGAAATCATTTTTTTTTTGCTATTTTTTTTCCCACAAAAGTGGAGTCATCCTTCAAGGAAATAAAAACGTAACCAGCAGTTTCCTGAACAATATTTCTGGAAATGCCCTTTAAGCGCGCAATTCTCTTCCAGCGCTCTTATTTCCCGATCACATGGCAGAAGATCATTTTAGTTAAGTAGGACATCCATCTTTAAAGTTAGCCCCGGGGCCCCCACTTGCCTTTTATCGGGGCCCGGTGCCCGGAACGCACGTCCTATACACTGATCTGGTAGGATTGGTTCACAGACGAGCGCCGTGTCCGGAGGGGAGGATTGGATGTAAATATTATTATGTCACTGCAAGGAGAAATCTTCCTGTTCTCCCGGCCTGAAGCAGGCGAGCGTTTCCTTTCCATGAAATGGAGGAATAATGAATATTGTCAGCGACGGTGTTCCGGCTGTGCCAGCATGGAGGGGGAGGGGGGAGCCGGAGGGCAGATCGCCGTTCTCTATATCGGGGAGTTGGAGAAGTATGGAGGCCGTCATTGCTGATTTCCATGTTCTCTGCCTGTCATACTGATTACACACATGCAAAACAAAAACATTCGAAATCTTAACAAATTTTTTTGTAGTTGGATTCGGTAAATTCGCTCAACTCGTTTTCGGGTTTCGTTTCGTTAATTCGTATTCAAATTCAATTCAAAAACATTTCAACCAAATTCGAAAAGTCGTTCGCATTCGAAAACATTTCAACTGAATTTGAAAAAAATTCGTAAAATAACGGGGAGCCGGGGGGGGGGACCAGTCCTTAAAGCGGAACTTCCCCTTTTGGGTGACGCTCCGCTTTAAATTTGTTTTTCGAATGTTTGTTCGATTTTGTTTTTGAATTTGTATTCTAATCGAATTTTGGCCGAATTTTATTCTGTTATTTCGGATTTGTTTATATTCGGTATTTTTGCCATTTGTTATTCGGATACATCCGAATCTCCGCATAACGAAAACATTTGTCTGAAATGCGATTCGGACTGTAATACTGATCCAGTGGCTTCAATGTATCCGATTCTCCTGTAAGGAGCTTCTTCACACAGGTGGCGGGGGGGTGGGGGGTAAAAGCAGGTAGTTGAGTTGCGATACCGGGATGATGCCAACAGCTGCAAGCGTCATCCACTTGGAACCTGTGACATAAATATGCGCATTGCGAGTCTTCAAGCAGATACAGAGGCTGCCAGGACACCACAAAGCAAAGAAAAATGGTCCGGTACAAAGAAAAAGAAAATGGTCCAGTACAAAGAAAAATGGTCCGGTAGAAAGAAAAATGCTGACATTATATCATGCACAGAGCAGCCCCGGTCTTCTTCATTTCAGGTCCCCCACCAGCGTTCCTAGCTCCTCCCCCTAGACCAGTGCCCCCAACTTCAAGCTGCTTGCTATGGGGGCATTGGTGCACGCTCGCTCTCGAGCCTGGCTCTATGTGTTCAAAAGACACATTTATAGAGCCACGGCTCAGCCCCGCCCCCCACTTTCTCCTCAATGGCTCACTGGCTGTGATGGACAGCAGTGGAAGCCAATCGCTGTCTCAGTCAATGAGGAGAGGGAATCCTGGGACAGCTATGGCTCTCATGCACATCACTGGATCGAGAGGGGGCTCAGAAATGTAGGTCTATGCCTGAATGAATCTATGCCTTCACAACCACCTTAAGCCCCTACTGGGTGAAACATGTTAGAGGAGGTTCTCCCATGGGTAGGAGACCAAGCTGAAGCCATATTTTACTAAGAGGAGTTCACCAAATGCCAAGGCAGTGTTCGCCATTTTGTTGGAGCCCTCGATGTGTCTGATGAATCAGCATTCGACTCGACCCCACCAGCACCTGCAAACATTTGGCTGGGGTAGCAGATCGGGACGCTTCTTCTGTATCAAATTTATGTTATTTTTAGGTTTATCAGCCGTGGGAGGAGCTGCGATTTATTGGCTCCCAAAATGCATAAGAATAGGAATTATCCTCCGGAGGGGGAACTAATGATCACCGGTATTGATTCCACCAATAGAGGATTGTCTCCGTATATTGATACATTCCTTCAAGGATTAGTATTGGGAATTGGATCTTCCCTCATGGATACTGAACAGGTAATGAGAGGGATCAATGACATTATTAGTACCGGATTTTGTAGCGACAGCATTTGCGGCTTTCTTATAGATTCTAATATTGCACAGAAAAGAAACAGAAGCCGGTTTATATGCTGATGATGTGATGATAATCTCAAAGGGTAAATCCCCTTTTATGTGAAAAAAGAAATAGCAAATAAAAAAATAGTGCATACAATTGCGACACAAATCACACAAATCTCACAAATCACATTGTAACGTTATTAAGAATGATCTTTCCTTTTCAATACTCCCAAAGGGAAATCACATCTAAAGGGATGCAGACCCTGCCACTTTCCTCGTTTGAGCCCTGCAGGTGCAGCAGCTGATTGATCATTATAAAGTTGCTCCCCATTATGTTATTAAAAATGATCTTTCCTTTTCAATCTGCAGCCGCTGTCATATTCTATAAAATGCAATATGGCTGCCTGGAGGCGTTCTGTACACAGATGGTATATGTACCACCCCCAGAAATGTAATTTCCTGCTTGTGTGATTGGCTCACTGATTTTCCAAGAAGTCTGCACTAAGATACAAGTCAGATTTTGAGCATCCCCTGCAACCAATATTTCATTTTGGTGAGATACTCCCAAAGGGAAACCACATCTAAAGGGATGCAGACCCTGCCACTTTCCTCATCAGAGCCCTGCAGGTGCAGCAGCTGATTGATCATTATAAAGTTACTCCCATTATGTTATTAAAAATGGTCTTTTCTTTTCAATCTGCAGCAGCTGTTATTTTCTGTAAAATGCAAAGTGGCCGCCTGGAGGCGTTCTGTACATAAATGTAATTTCCTGATTCAGTGATTGGCTCACTGATTTTCCCAGAAGTCTGCACTAAATCAGATTTTGGGCATCCCCTGCAACCAAAATGTCATTTTTGGTGAGATACTCCCAAAGTGAAACCACATCTAAAGGGATGCAGACCCCGCCACTTTCCTCATCAGAGCCCTGCAGGTGCAGCAGCTGATTGATCATGATAAAGTCGCTCCCATTCACAGTCACTCTGCACATGGACACAGAGAAACAGACAGAGACTTCTTCAGGATAACAAAAGGTTGGAATCTGCTACAAAGTTTGTTACAATCCCTGCAATGTGCATAGATCACCCAGGGGGGAGGGGCTTTTCTGAACAAAAGTGGAGTTACTCTTTAAATTTTTCACTTTCCATTACATAGCCAGTGGGAGGGACCGGCAGAACTCTCACAGAGGGGAAGGTTTTTTCCTCAACAAAAGTGGAGTTACTCGTTAAAGAAAAAATAATTTGTTATTCCATGAAATGTTCAGATCTTAGCCTTTGTATCTTCAATTTCAGAGAAGTGCAAAGGGTGCAAAATACATTCCAACGTTTGCCTTATTTATTGATGGCGTCGTGGAAAACTGATATTATGTTGTCAATCAATCAATAGAATTGGTGGTATGGAGAAGCTTGATTGGTGATGATGATGATGATGATGATGATGATGGGGGATGGGTAAGTCAGGTGAGCAGTCACTCCAGTAATAGACAGCACAACCTTCTTAGAAAATGAGCTTTTAATGAGCAATTATTTCCAGGAGATTGGAATGGTTACCAGCCGATCGCCATTCTACGGATAGAGATGTCCCTAAGGGCAAGTCCGCTCCGCACTCAGAAACTGCTCTTAGATTGGGGATTATGAAGAAAAGGCAGCAGTTTTGGAAGAGGGATTTATTAATAAGGATTCTAAAGAGGAGAATTTATATCCCTCAAAAACTAGCTCTGGACAGTAGATTAAAATATAAAAAAAATGGAGCTGGATGTATTCCTAAATACACAAAATCTAAGTGGATGTTAACATCTATAGGTCCAGTAATTACACCAGGGACTGTTAATCCAGGGAATATGCCCCTGTGTACAAAGCCAGCTCCATAAAGACAAGGTTTGGTAATACTCCATCATACAAAGACGTGCTCTTCCAGCCTTGTGGTAACAGTTTGGTGAAGACCCTTTTTTGTTCCTCCATGACTGTCCCCGGGGTACAAAGCCAGCTCCATAAAGACATGGTTTGGCTAGTTTGGTGTGGAGGATCTCGTGTCCTGTGCAGAGCCCTGACCTCAACCTACTGAACACATTTGGGATGAATTGTAATACTGATAGTGAGTCAGGTCTTCTTGTCCGACATCAGTACCTGTAGGGTCCTGGTAATCTTCTATCATACAAAGACGTGCATTCCAGCCTTGTGGTAACAGTTTGGTGAAGACCCTTTTCTCTTCCACCATGACTGTCCCTTGTGTACAAAGCCAGCTCCATAAAGACATGGTTTGGCTAGTTTGGTGTGGAGGATCTCGTGTCCAGTCCAGAGCCCTGACCTCAACCTACTGAACACATTTGGGATGAATTGTAACATCGATGGTGAGTCAGGTCTTCTCATCCAACATCAGTACCTGTAAAGTCCTGGTAATACTCCATTATACAAAGACATGCTCTTCCAGGCTTGTGGTAACAGTTTGGCGAAGACCCTTTTCTCTTCCAGCATGACTGTCCCCTGTGTACAAAGCCAGCTCCATAAAGACAAGATTTGGTAATACTCCATCATACAAAGATGTGCTCTTCCAGCCTTGTGGTAACAGTTTGGTGAATACCCTTTTTTGTTCCTCCATGACTGTCCCCGGGGTACAAAGCCAGCTCCATAAAGACATGGTTTGGCTAGTTTGGTGTGGAGGATCTCGTGTCCTGTCCAGAGCCCTGACCTCAACCCTACTGAACACATTTGGGATGAATTGTAACACCGATGGTGAGTCAGGTCTTCTCATCCTACATCAGTACCTGTAGGGTCCTGGTAATCTTCTATCATACAAAGACGTGCTCTTCCAACCTTGTGGTAGCAGTTTGGTGAAGAGTTTGGTTACCTCTTTTGTTCCTCC